TTTCGGGGGGGGGGGGGCTGTGTCTGAGTGAAAGAGGATCTACCCTAGCAAACCTTTTGTATTGTTACCCCAATATCCCCATGCATATGGGATATATTGAGCATGGTGATCAGATCATAATATGAATAAACATAACAGTTTAAATAATGTACCAGTAAGGCCATGAGAATTTCGGGGGGCAGCCTCTTTCTAAGAGGACCTTCATGGAAGAAGGCAGATTCCTGTTGGTTCAGCTCTTTCAATACCTCCAAGGTTCACCAAAGGAGCTCATACAGATGCCTCCCAAGCCATCTACTTCCCATTGTGCTGCTCAGCAATGAAAAATGGGCAGAACAGCATGTAAGAAGAAATACGCAGCCAGAAAGCCACAGGCTGCCATTGGAATAAATGAATGGATGAATTTTTATTTCGTTTAGTAACCATAGAAGTCATAAATAAAATAAAAATAAAATAAACGATTAGCTATAAGATCTTTATGACACAATACAGGGGAAATCAGCAGTACTTGAAGTGCTATGTCAACATCCTACATGAAGTTGCAGCCAAACAAAGCAGGCCACTTTGATGTGGAACAAATAGATAAACAGACTTATAGTTAGTATTGTCTTTTGAATTTTTTTCTTTGCATCTTAATTTTATTTGAGAGAGTTTGGGCGCTGGGGATTTGTTGTTCCGTTTTTTAAAATGATTGAGCAGAATTCTGTCAGAAAGTAGGAAGAAAAGTTGTGAAGAAAACAGTGGAGGTTCATTACAGAAAAGGATATTGAAAAGGTCTGAAAATACCGGGCGCTTCTTAATTACTAGGTTTCTTACAGCGAGGGAGAATTGTGAGGGTTAGAAATGCACTTTGACATTAATGATGATGATGATGATATCTGCCTCTCCTTTCAGCTTGAGGTGGGACACAACAGGGTTAAAACAGAACAATAAAACACAACACTATTAAAACATATATAACACAAGACCACACCATTAAAATATAGATTAAAATCTACACATTAAGATTGACTAGGTATTGACAAGTACAAATTCAGAATCAACAAGCAAACTCCATATATATTCAATCTCTACTAATTTAGAAACAGACAAGCATCATCTGTATATATGATGCTTTCATGTTTGTTTTTAGGGATGTGTAATCCATTAACAAATGGTTCAAAGGTCATTACAAAACTGGGGGGGGGGGAGGTGTGCTGGTGCTTCATTTCTAAAGTGTTAAAAAAGTACACTTAGTGAGAACATTGTTACTGTAATGAGACTAACAACATTTCTTTACTATTTTGTTACAATAATTGCGCATAATTAAATTACAATAATTGAGGAAACTTCAGGGGTTCCTATCTCCATCGTTTTAAAGCTATCGGGGTGAAACTTGCTACAGTGATAGAACACAGTGCCCAGTTAACTCACCAAAATGTTTCACTTATCCATGGATTTTTGGCAAATTTTCAAACTTTTTATAAACAACATTTTTAATACTACAGAAAATCTGTTCCTACTTTGAAAGTATTATTTTCTGTTTAAATGTGTATTCTTTACTTTGAAAGTTGTTTTTCTACTCCAGAAACTTTGTTTTTGTGGCAGAACCTTTATTAAAATGGTGGAGATTCAACAAAGCAAAATGTGCTATAGGGCAATGTCCCTTGTGCAAAGACGAAGTTTTTGCAGTGTAATAAACTTTCACTATGTTTTTGTGACAGAACCAATTAGGAACTGCCATTCATAACCCAGGAACAGAAACCATAGTGTAGGATATTAACAACTGTATTGGAACTCTGGCAGGCTACAGATCAATCTCCTCTCCTAATTGGGGCTTTCTGATGCTGATGCATACTGGGAAATGTAGTTTAGGGCAGAGCATTTCGAATTCTTTGGCATAGGGCTCCTCCCCTTCCCAAACGACATTTCCCAGAGTTCTATGCTGTTCCTAAAATGCACTGCTCCCTCTTTCCATGGCTCCTAATGCCAAGATTCCACTAATTCCAGGCAGGCAGGCAGGCAACCTTTTAGGCTTAATGGCTTTGTTTCCTTGCACTGAATATGGAACTGACTTTGGGAGACTTCTGAGATTTACAAAACGAAAACAGAAAAGTATGGGGTAAGTTTCAATTCTACAATATTTGGTGTGGGCCATGCAAATGCTTCAGATATGGCTTCCAACTTACAAAACTTCCAATTTTCTTACGATTTCCGACACTTCCAATTTTTTTGTACATGCCTAGTTTATATGTATATGCATCCCCAAATGCATATGAGGGCAGGAAGCCTTGCCTTCATTCTGATTTGGCTTTAAACCTCACTACATAAATGTTGTTCTTTGGGGTTTTGTGGCAGGATTTGTACAGGTTTGCATTCACTTTGCTCTGAGGTTGAGAGAGTGTGATTTCTCCGAGATCATCCTGAGGGTCTTCTTTACTGAGCAGGGATTTGTACCTTGGTCTCCAGGGTCCAAGTCCAATGCTGAATCCCTTGCACCAGTCTGCTGGCCATGGAGCCCATGGCAAATCCATGCATTACAGAGGCAACACCATGAAATCATTTCCAAGCAAGAGTCACTCTGGTGATCTCTAGAGTTCTCAAGCTCTTTCAACCACTGAGCCTTTTTTGAAGCAAAAGTTTATCACGGGGGAGAAAGGATACATGGAGCCCCTTAGTATGGAGCCAAGGGCTATGTAGAGCACAGTGTGAGAACAGCTCTAGAGGGAAAGTAAAGGGAAATAAAAAGGCTAACAGTTTCAAGTTTAAAGTATTTGGTTCAAAAGTATCTCCTTCTGCTGCTTTGTGATCTGTTGCGGGCGTGGAGGAAACAAGAGAAGCATGTGTTTGCAACATTAAGATTTTTTTTTCATAGTAACCCAAATAAACTTGTTAATTTTGGGAAATGAGCAGTAAAGAGTAAAACCTCAACAATAACTTCCCAAGCTCCGAACACATTTTCTGTTGGATCTCAGCAGGCTTATCTAGAGACAGCATCATCTGGCAGGAGCTACTATTCCTCTCAATGTTTTTTTTAAAACTGCAGGACACTATGAGATATTTAAATAGCAATGTCCTGATACAAAGAACCCAGAGCAAGTATCAGTGCCAACTTTGCAAGCCTGTTCCTGGCTTATAGCCATGGAAAGACTCCTTGGGGGGGGGGGGGGGCTGACCACCGTTTCAGGCAAAATGCCAGCCTTCTCCCCAAAGGCAGGGAAGGAGGGATGGGCTGCTCCTCAATCTCACAGGATTTGGTTTGCCCTATGTGCATGCAGATTGATTTCCTGTTGCAAATGGATGGTACTGACAATACATAGTGGGCTAATTACATTTACAAAAACTAAGACTCAATTACTTTTTTAAAAAAATACATTGTCCACCTCATCACACTCAGGACACTCTAGCTCAAAAATCCACCTATGAGATTCGACATAGTGAGGCCTCATTTGAGCCCTGCTTTCCATTCTGGGGTTTTAAGAAAGATATAGACAACTTGGAATGGCTTTAGAGAAGGATATTGAAAATGGTTAGAGATATGGAGAGTAAAACACACAAGGAAAGGTAAAAGAAGCTGGGCATGCTCAGAAGAGAAGAGCAAGAGTGTTGTTGTTTTTAATCATGTCAGAAGCAGCTTGAAAAACTGCAAGTTGCATCTGGTGTGAGAGAATTGACTGTCTGCAGAGACATTGCCCAGGGTACATCTGGATGTGTTACCATCCTGTGGGAGGCTTCTCTGGATAATATGACTGCACTATTGAAATACCTCAAGCACTGCCACAAAGAGGAGTGTGAAGGCTTACTTTCAGCTGCCCTGGAAGGGAAAACGAGGTCTATTGGTTTTAAGTTTCAGGAGAATAGATTCCAGTTGAACATGAGAAGAAACATTGGCAGCAAGAGTGTTTGAGCAGTGGGATCAATTGAAGAGATTGAGGGCCTCATTCTCTGGATGTCTCCAAAAAGATGCTGGACAGTTACCTGCTGTGCAATGCTTTAGCTGGATTTCTTGCACTGAGTATATGAGGTTGAATGCAATGGTCTTGAAGGCCCATTCCCACTCTATGATTGTATAATTGCAGTTGTTATGCAAACCATTAGTCACAATGTAAACTGTTAGTCACCCTATCAAGGAATGAAATCCCCAGCACTTTAACTCTAGGTATTTCAAGCCTCCACTGGTTATTTGTTACGTATATAATTCTGATTGTTTACTGTATTATAAATGTGTGTATTGGTATGCAATTTTACCTTAACTCTTGGTTGTGGGAGGGGCTGCAAACAATGTGATCAGAACTAGGGTTGTTCAGGACTCAGACTCCATTTTAAAACAGTATGCTTTTAAGAAGACAGTATGATGTGTGCTTCAGACTTCGGTAGGAACTGTTTGCTTTCAGATGCCAGTAGAAACAGTATGCTTTAGACTTTAGTAGGAACTGTATGCTTAGAGACTTCAGTAGAAACAGATGCCTGCTTTTAGAAATTGGTTGAAACAGTCTACAGAGACTCTATTAGACTCTCAGAACAGAGAGATGCTTTGGACTTTGAACTGTTGATTATAAGAACAATCCCAGGTGCTATCCACTCTGAAAAACTTCTTCAAATTCTATTTGTAACTGAATTGATAAGCAAAGCACCAATATGTTGAATACATGAAGTTTGTGAGTAAACCAATTATGTTACTTTTAAAGAAGTCTGCTTATTTGCCTTGCATGAATGCCATTTTCCCAAAATGTTATGATTCTAACAGGTCATGCTTTTACCAAGGGGTTATGGCATCATTTTTCAAACGATGATGACTTCTAACAAGGTCCTGCCTTCCCAAGGATCATAAAATTTCCAAAGGGTTATGGAAATTTCCATTTTCCAATATATATTTTTTGTATTTCAAAGAGCACTTGCTTCCTGTTAGCATGGATTGTGAATTATAATGTAGATGAATGTATGTGTGTTCGCAGCTTACAGCCGTTCTCCCTTTCCTCTGTCCTTTCCTCTCCCCTGCCTCCCTCCGCATCCTTCTTGTTTAGCTTGTGACTGCCACCCGGTTGGTGCTGCTGGGAAGACCTGCAACCAGACGACTGGTCAGTGCCCTTGCAAAGATGGCGTGACAGGATTAACCTGCAACCGCTGTGCCAAAGGCTATCAACAGAGCCGTTCGCCAGTGGCTCCATGCATCAGTGAGTAAAGCAGTGAGGTGTTTACGCATGCTTGTGGTGTAGGCTGGTCAGAGTGTCAACAAGTGTTGCTTGTCACACACAAACATTCAGCTGAGCCCAGGGATCATTGTATGTGTTGTTACTGACAGAGTGCATACTAATCCAACAATCAAATATTTGTTAAACTCTTTAAACTTTATAGCAAAGGAGGTTAGAAACTATTTTAATTGGATTACTTATCACCTGGTTTTATAGAGATCTGTTTAAGCTGATCTTGTCTACACCGTCCCTTAAGTCAGACAAGCAAAGAGATCAATTCCTTGATTATCTTGTATATGTGTTTTGTTGTGTCAGTTGATAATTAAACTATGTTACAAAATTTGAAAGATTTTCTGTTCCTGGTTTAAAAGGGTTATTTCCTGTTTAACTGTGCAGTCCTTATTTTGAAAGTACTTATTATACTACAGAAACTGCATTGTCTTTGTGACTGCCACAAACTAGGTTGAACTTATTTATTTTGTATCAAAAGCATTGCATAAATTAGTATAAAACTGATAAAAATAGGAGCACAGGCGGCTAAGTATCTTTTGACCAAAAATGGGCAACAGCAATGGCATTGTCTATAGCCACCAACAATTCTTCCTCTGTACATGAGGCAGGGCATAGTGGTCAAGCATACAGATGCGGAGTTGTCTGTTCTACACAAGGTATAGGATTCTTTTAGGTAGTGCCATTTTGCCAGGTTGTCTTTTGATCTGCCCACTCCACTTCTGAGTCTGTTCAGGGACTTCCAAGTTGCCCATTCTTAGTTTGCCTCTGGAGGAAGACCCTCGTGGCAGGCCATCCAGTTGGGATTTCCTGGTTTAGCTGCCCAGAGGGATATTCTTGCTGTTGATGGGGGGACGCCAAGAGGAGTGGTAGTTCTCATAAAGCTTTTCCTTGATTTGAGTCTACTGGGAGGGGGCTGGTAGCTATGTAGTGGATGGCTTTCACAGTGTTCAACCTTATTTTTCTCATATTTAGCAGCAACTTTCTGTCACACATCGGGGGGGGGGGGGGGGGGAGCAATGCCAGCTAGCTTGTAGAGTTTATCAACAGGTGTAGGTTTAAGACACCCTGTGATTATTCTTCATGTTTCATTCAATGCTATGTTCATCTGTTTTACATGGGCAGACTTATGCCAAACAGGGCAGGCATACTCAGCAGTTGAGTAAGACAAGGCCAGGGCTGATGTTCTTATTAATTTTGGGTCTGCACCCCATGCACTGCCAGTAAATTTCTGCAGGATGTTATTGCGTGGAGCTATTTTGTGCTTGGTGTTCAAGCAGTGTTTCCTATATACTAGTGTTCGATCTAAGGTAACACCGAGATATTTAGGATGGAAACAATGTTCAAGCTCTTGACCTTCCCAGGTGACTTTCAATTTCCTTTTGAAACTAGGTTGAACTGATTGAGACTCATTGTTGAGAGACTGAAAAAAACTAGAGCAAAATGTGCTGTAGCAGGATGTCTTGCAAAAACAAAGTTTTTGGTAATTTAATAAACTTTACCCATGTTTTTATGACAAAACCTATTAGGAAACAACATTTATAACCAGGAACAAAAATCGTGTTACATAGTGTTATGTATGGGCTTAACTTTCCTTAGATGCTTAAGGGAAGAGCACTTACTTCATTTGCAGGGAGACATATATGACTGAATCCCGGGTATCATTAGGTGATGAACAGCCCTAGAAAGCTGTGATCAGTCAAAGAAGCTGATACTCCAGCGAGAAGCAGCCAGATTGCTCACCGGAGCGGCGTACAGGGAGCACACCACCCCCCTGTTGCGTCAGCTCCACTGGCTGCGATCCAATTCCGAGCACAATTCAAAGTGCTGGTTTTGACCTACAAAACCCTATACGGTTCCGGCCCAGTGTATCTGTCCGAACGGATCTCCCTCTACATCCCACCTCGAAGTTTAAGATCTTCTGGGGAGGCCCTGCTCTCGACCCCGCCAGTGGCACAAGTGAAACTGGCGGGGACGAGGAGCAGGGCCTTCTCAGTGGTGGCCCCCCACCTGTGGAACTCACTCCCCGGGGAGATCAGATCGACGACTTCCCTTCTAGCGTTTAGGAAAAAACTAAAGACCTGGATGTGGGACCAAGCTTTTGGCCATGCTGACAACTAACTAAAGGACCTGTCGATAGACAAGGACAATGGAATGGAATGGATATATGGACTCTGATATATGGACTCTGACATGAGATAGTTTTTATGATTTTATTAGGTATTGATGTTTTATTTTAATTGTTGAATTGTTATATTTTGTATTGTTTGTTGTGTGATTTGGGCATCTAATTGTGCCTTCCCTGTAAGCCGCCCTGAGTCCCCCCCGGGGTGAGAAGGGCGGGGTATAAGTAGATGAAATAAATAAATAATAATAATACTGTACTATGTGAAATTGTCTGACATTATACTGTTTTTATATATGAACAGCAAGCAATCCGAGGAGAAGTAAAGAAGCTCCGCAGATGAGAGAATGTTTCCTAGGTTATGTTGCAGAAAGCATGGGAAACACCAGAAGGGTCACACACTTATTTCAGTCTCTCTGTCTACCAGCTGTGAGAAGTGTAGCAAGGCAGGGAAATAAATGTATATTCTTAAGCCAACTAAGAAAACCTATCTTTCTTTTCCAGAAATCCCTGCCATCAACCCAACCTCTGTGGTCGTCAGCACAGAAGAACCAACAGGTGAGCAGTTGCTGTACTAGAAAGTCAAGGTGGCATCCCTGCCCTTGCTTATTTCTGATCTGTGTATCTTCTAAAGTTCTCATTTTGCTTTCTGTGCAGAACTTCAAAAGACAACATCCATGAAAACTCAATACAATTATATATCTGCTTTTTTGCAGTGTATAATACAATAGTAATAATTGTGATTATATATTTATTTATTTATTTATCTGCCTCTCCTGATGGCTTGAGGCAGGGTACAATAGAGTCAAAAACATATGAACTATCTGTCTGTCTGTCTGTCTATCTATCCAAAATAAAGAAAGAACAGCACTCAGAAACAGGGGAATTCCAGACAGCAAACAACCAAGTGCCAGTTAACACCTCCCAAACAAAGGATGCATCCAGACACAACAGCCAAGCTACCTCTATGCAAATACCTTCACTGATTGACTTTGCAGCTTCGTAGCTACTCAATGCTATTCAAGCCAGGACACCTCTATGCAAATACCCTCACTGATTGACTTTGCATCTTCATGGCTATTCAATGCCATTCAAACTAGGACACCTCTGTAAATCCCCTCATTGATTGACTTTGCAGCTTCATGGCTTCTCAATGCTATTCAAGCTTGCTAACTGCAACATTCACACTTCCTTCAAACAGAAAAGGGGTCTTTCTCCCACCCTGGACATTTCACAGATATATATACACCCCACTTGCATCACTAGCAACAGAACCTCTGAGGATGATTGTCACAGATGCAGGCAAAATGTAAGGAGAGAATGCTACTGGAACATGGCCATACAGGCCGAAAAACTCACAGCAACCCAGTGAGCCTTTGACAACACATAAAATAGATACAATCAATTACATAGATAAAAACACAAAAYTATAAAGAATGTGCACCAAATTCAGTGTATATGTATATTCACCATCAGTAGCATAGGACTGTACCGGGGGGGGGGGGGGGGTGCAAATGAACTGAAGAAGCAATGCATGTATAATTTTTAGAACTGATTTGACTTCAAATAAAACTAAAAGTGAATGGAATGTGAGTCAAAGTGAACTCACTGTCATCCCTACCACTGCTTTCAATTGTGCCTGGAAAGAGACTATTAGCCAGTGGAGGTGTTGTAAGAGATAGTTGTTAAGGTCTCTGTAACCAGTTGGGACAGTTCCTGGTTGTTCTTGATAGGCAGCCTCTTTTGAGTGCATTGCGTTCATCCAAATGGGATGTAAATAAGTCACGTGTCATTATGACCACATCAGACAATTCCAGGAAGCGGTGATGTTGGGGCGGGGTATATTCGCTTTAATAGTTTTGTTTCAGCCTTTCAGGCTGGAAAGAAATTCAAATGAAAGTTGGCAAACCCCCAAACAGTGGTATCACAGGGAAGCCCAGAACGACTTGAGAAACCCAAGATTCCTCAATTCAGCAGTAGCTGCAAGTGAGGCATCCCACATCTGTAACTCCAGAGTCCGAAATACCTGAAAATCCAAAATTGCCCACATAGGTGCCTGAGATAGTGGCATCTTTTCTTTCTCTTGGTTCAAGGTGCAAAAACTTTGTTTGTCATGACACTCTGCCTCGTCCACCACTCAGATTCAGTGCTCCGCACATATCCCAGTTAGGCATTTATGGGGCTTTTAATGAAGAATTTACATCTAGCATCAGATTTGGTGACAATCGTCTGATTCCTTTTGACCCTAATGTGCAAACAAAAAACTTTTCCAAAATGACAGAGAGAAAAACAACAACAATCCAACCATCAGCCTGCCTTTCTGCTGGCCAACACTAAAGCTATTGCTGTGAGACTTGGCAAAGGAAAAGAGTTTCATGAAGGGCCATGCTTTCTCTTGTTGCCTCATGCTGAGTTTCTCCAGCACAGGCAATCTGGATATCTATTCCTCCCTTCCCAGGCACAAGCCCTTTCTCCTCTGTGTTTTTGGCTGGATTTTATTAGTTCCTTAGGAGCAGGAGTAACAACAAAACATTGCAGTGAGTTGTGCATGTCAAGCTGATTTTAGTGCCAACTAGAGTCGACCCACTGAAATGAATAAGTGTTCTATTTGTTCCATGAAGACACTGCATCTCATTTGATCTTCCATCCTCTAGCTTTTGAAAGAGGAGGAACTTATCTGCAAAGCACATCAGGCATGTGTTGGACATTCTTTGCTTTATAGTGTTAGTCTCCCATCAGATATCAGGAGAATTAAAAGTCCCCGTAACTGTCAGTTCTTGCATCTTTGGGATTTCTGAATGGAAAAAGGGAGCAGTCCAGAAGTATTAGCAGTAGGACTCAAAGCAGATTACAGCACTTACATACATAGGCAAACATTCAGTGCCTTTACAATCATATACAATGAGACACACAAAGGCAGAGGCTTCTCTTTTCATTTCCAGCTTCTGGAGTTGGTGCTCATCTCTGGCTCTGGGAAGGTGCTTTTCTCCATTTTCAAGCTGAGGAGCCTGTGTTGTCACCTCCTGGTTGAACAGCCTTCAGGTCAGTTGTTCAGCCAACATTCAGCAGTTCAGCAGCACAGGGGTTTAACCCCTTGCACCACCACATACAGTTGGAAGTTGGATACAGTTGGAAATTGGGAGTAGGAGTGGTTTCTCATTCATATTCTTTGGAAAGATGTGGTCTATCCCACAGCTTTGTGATTCAGATTATGTATATTGGTGGTCATTCAGAAAGACTGTATTCTGGGTTTTTTTTTTCCAAAGTGTATATCTGAGAACCAGGACTCCTTCATTCCCAGTAGCTCCTTCTTTGGTTCAGAACCTTCTGAATCTCTTGGTCCATTTCTGTCTCCATTGTTCAGCTGTTCAGCTCCCATTGCCATAATCCATCATTGCATCACTGCCCCTTGCTGGTCTTGACATAACAAATATTCTGGGCATAACATTCTAATAGAAGTTTGATGGGGTTTTTTTCTTTATTGTTTCAAAAGAAACAATAAGTAGGGAGTCAAATGTGTAGGGCAAACTCGTTGTCCAAGCCAAAATTGGATCCGAGTACATCTCTCGCATACCCACACATCCCCATTATGCTTTGTTCTATGCATGACTCTACTGTGTATAGCTCTGAAGGAATTCAGCAGTAAAATAGGTGCAGCCGTAACACCTAATTAAGTTACATCTCTTCTCAAACAAAATATTCCTTTACAAGAGAAGAAAAAGGGCAGGGGAAATAAACCAGATGTGCAAACCAACCAAGTCAGGCTTTTTCTTCCATATTATACATACAGAAAGAGTCAATGCCAAATTCAGCTGATGGAAACATTTCGTGAAACTCAATGGAAGTGTAGCCCAACAGCTGCCCACTTTCACCATCTCCGCTTTCTCTTTCATATCAAGTGACACACAGTTACCTTCTATAGACATACTGCGGCTTCTCCAGACTTCGTTACCTCAATCTGTTTCTCTTCCATGTACACTTATTTGGCTTGCTGCTTGCAGGTTATTTTGTTTTCACATGCTCCCTCACAAGGGAGGCCCACCACTGATGCTGCATTCAATGCCTTAGAAATGTGATGCTGTTTATTCGTTCAGCCGTTCCATGCCAGAGCTACCTGTTGGCAGTCACCACCCCAGCACCTTCAAGGTCAAACTGGTCCCTTCAAGGATAACATTCATCCACCTTGCCCTTGGTAGGCCCCTCTTCCTTCTTACTTCCATTTTCCCCAGCATCATTATCTTCTCCAAGCTATCCTATCTTCTCATTATGTAGCCAAAGTACTTCATTTTTGCCTTTAATATCCTTCCCTTGAGTGAGCATTTGGGCTTTATTTCCTGTAGTTTTGCCCAAGAAACAGCCTTACAACAAGGTTTAAAGCAACTAAAAAAACTTTACTTCAGCAAAATGTTAATGTAACAAACAGCAGCAAAGGAACAGAAGTAAAATCCCAAAAGCAAAGCAAAAGTCTTACATCAGACATGAAATAAGAGTCTTTGGCAAAAAGTCTTAGCGAGGCACTTCACAGACACTGGAGCTGCAAGCAAGGAAACTGGAGCACAGAAGCACTAAGTAGAATGGTTGCTGCCAACATTGACCACTCACTTTACTGCTGATTTATAGCCCTCAGCTCCCAGCACAGGTGTTCTTGGGGGCGAAGTCTGATTGCTCAGCTTCCTTGCAGCAATTCTAGCTGACCTTTTCCTTTCACCCTTCGGCATTCCTGAAACATAGGAAGTGGCAGTATGTTTTCCTCTCCCTCTTCTTCCTCCTCAACACTTGCCCCAAATTCCCAACTCCTACATCTTCAAGGTCCTGTTTTACCTCCTCCTCAGATGAAGATGAGTACACAACAAGTGTACTCTCAGGATTTTCCTCCAACACCACAGTTCAAACGCATCTCTCTTCCTTCGCTCAGCCTTCCTTATGGCCCAGCTCTCACCTCCATTGGTTACTATGGGGGATACCATTGCTTTAACTATGTGGATCTTTGTTGCCAGTGTGATGTTTCTACTCTTCACTATTTTATCGAGATTGGTTATTGCTCTCCTCATAAGAAGGTAACATCTAATTTCCTGGCTGCTGTCTATGTCTGCAGTCATCTTCACACCTAGAAATGCAAAGTCTGTCGCTGTCTCCACATTTTCTCCCTCTATTTGCCATTTATCAATCAGTCTGGTTGCCATCATCTTGGTTTTTTCGATGTTTACCTGCAACCCAACTTTCTTCTTTTACCTTGGTTATAAGGCTCCTCAGCTCCTCCTCACTTCCAGCCATCAAAGTGGTATTATCTTCATATCTAAGGTTTCTTCCAGCAATTTTAACTCCAGTCTTGGATTCATCAAGCCCTGAATGTTGCCTGATGTGTTCTGCTTATAAGTTGAATAGGGAGGGTGCTGTACTCCTTTCCCAATCCTGAACTGGTCTGTTGTTCCATGGTCTGTTCTCACCGTTGTTACCTGGTTGTTATACAGATTCCTCAGGAGACAGACAAGAACTTGCCACCATTTATTATGATCCACACAGTCAAATGCTTTAGAATAGTCAATAAAACAGAAATA